TTTTTTTTTTGACAGGTTCTCACTATGCAGCCCAGGCTAGCCTCACACTCACAGCAATCCTCCTGTTGCAGCCTCCTGAGTGCTGGGATTACACCACCATGTGTGGCTTAAAAATAATTTGAATAATAATAACATCCCAAGGGCCGGGGATTTAGCTCAGTGGTTCTACTGCCTGCCTTGCAAGCACAAGGACCGGAGTTCTATCCCCAGTACCACATAAATAAATAAAAATATAATAGTAATATCCCAAGTAAATAATAGGCTCTGCCAATATTCAAACCTATAAAGGGTTGTGTCATCTGTATACAGTCTCCTTGCTGTAAGAACACTAGGTCTCTGCTTTAGTAACAGTAAAACCACATCATCGATAAGTCTAAGACAAGTGTCTGAATCTAGAGCGTCCTCACAGCTTAGTCAACACTGAGTAGCTTGATTTGTGATGCCTCAGCATCCCTGGAGAGGAGAGGTTTCCAGTTAGACTTACGTTCATGAAAACATCATGAGTGTAGTTGTCAGTGTCCGCATCCCAGAAGCATCGAGCCGCCATGCTAGAGAGCCACAGAGAAAACAACTGTCAACCATACTGCAAGAATCTGAACTACATGTATCTGCCGAAGCAAAGGTTTGCCTTCATACTCTCCATAGATCAGTGCTTCTGAATGCTTCACAGGTCAGCCTGGCACACAGAGGAAACGCTGTCTGTACAGCAGAGCATGCTGGGTAGCCTGGATGGACAGGAGTCACAGGCCAGACATGACCAGGCTCAGACCCTGACTGGCCACCTGAGAACCAGGAGCCCCACCTCTTGAAGTCTGCTACTGTAGGTAGAGCTCTACTATAGATGCTTTCATCTAAGATACCAGTTGTGACTAAAAATATAGTGCATATTTTTAAAATTTTAAAAGAATTTAGTACAGTAAAAGACACATCGCCATGAATCCCCCTCAAAAAATTTCTCACTTGGAACACAATCATCCCATTGTCCTAGCCACTTTCTGAAACATTCTGAAGTTCTCTTTCCTGAGTGTCTTCAGTTGCACTCTCTTAGCTGCCTTGATGTCCTGAATCCACTGGCAATGTTTATCTTTCATGGTCATTTTGACTTTGGGGAAGAGCCAGAAGTCCCAGGATGCCAGATCTGGTGAATAAGGTGGATGGGGACACATTGATATTTTAATGAGCCTACCTTTTCGTTGAATGGCACTCAGGAGCAGCACCCACTGTTTCTTTGGTACCAGGGATCAAACTTGGGACCTTGCACTTGTGAGGCAGGCAGCGGAATCACTGAGCCAAATCCCCGGTCCATTCTCTGTATTTTTTTATTTATTTTTTGGGGGTTACCGGGGATCAAACTCAGGTCCTTGTGCTTGCATGGCAGGCAGCGGAACCACTGAGCTAAATCTCTGGCCCCTGTTCTCTGTATTTTTTATCATACCTCATAAAGACTCAGGAAAGAGAACTCCAGAACTGCTTCAAAGAGTGGTAAAAACGATGGAATAAATGTGCTTCAAGTGAGGGGAATGTTTTGAGGGTGACTAACAGCAATGTATCCTTTACTATAATAAATTTTTAAATTTTAAACATTCACTGTATATCATTATCACACCTTGTAGTTATGTGTGACTTTCAGCGGGCTCAATTCCTGCATCATAGTAGAAGGAAAATGTTTGCAGGGCCCAACACATTATATAGTCCAACCTGGTCATTTTATAGAGCCCCAGAAAAGAAAGGGACAAACTCTGAACTAGAATTCAGGCTTCTAACTAACTGCAGTATTGCTGCATCTCTATAGGCCACTGTGCTCCTTTTTTCTTTCCCAAGACAGGGTCTCACTTGTAGTTCAGATTGGCCTTGAACTCCAGTGATCCTCCTGCCTCAGCCGGTGCTGGGATTACGGAGGTGTGCTTTTGTGCTCCTTTTACATTCTCAAATTGGTAATTCTACTCTCTCCACATCTTAGATAAGAATAAAAAATATTAGTCAAAAATAAAAGCCAATTTAAAAACTGAAAACAATGCCCAATTATGTTGGATTGGTAAGTGAAATTATGGCATTTCCAAAGGTAATTACAGGTGTTTTACTCCTTCCTAATGCACATATATGATCCACCATCATTAACATTTGCTCACTCTGTGCCCATCAGCAGCCCAAGTGCTCTCCTGTATTAACTCAATCCCATGAGGTGTGTCCTGTTGCCACAGCCACTCGGTAAGTGTATGACAATGAGCCTCAGCGTCCAAGGACATACAATGAGTGACAAAACTGGCTTGGAACCCAGACAGTTCAGAACCCATGCTAAAGCGCTTGCCCAGCATGTACCAGGCCCTGGTTCAAACCCTACCACCAACCCCATCCCCAGCATCCATTTGGCAGCTCCCATGTGGCCAGGGAGATGATGGTCTGGCTCTCGCCTCCATTCCCAATTTAATTAGGTGGAAAAATGAAAGCACTCCAAAAGAGTAAGATAAATGGATACTTCATGCTCATTTTAATTTATTAGGATTAACAGAGTAAGGTCTATCAAATCTAAGCCTCCAACTTTTGCAATATTTGAAATTTGTAAGGCTACAAAAGTTTAGAGAATTTAGAGAGAAAAAAAGCCAAAGAAGCCTGGCACTAATAATAATAGCATAGCCAGGCACAGTGGCACACACCTGTCATCCCAGCACTTGGGAGGCTGAGGCAGGAAGACTGCCATGAGTTCAAGGCCAACCTGGACTACAAAGCAGAACTTTGTCTCAAAAAGCCAAACCAAAACAAAAAAGCCAAAGACTGTGAAGACAGGCAGCAGAAACTAAAATAAGTAGAACTGAGCAAGGGTGTGAATATAAAAATTTCTTTAACAGTACTGCAAAAAGAACGCATAAAACACAAGCTTTGCCTGAAAATTGTGACCTAACACACTGTTTCCCAGTCAAAGGAAGCAGGCTCCTCGAAGAAATGGCCAGTCCTAGGTGGAGGGCTGGCGACACACAGATAAACCTGGGCTGTGGGACACACCACGGACAGTGCCATTGGAATGTGCACCTGTGAGCAGACACATGTGTGCACACATGTGACAGGTCACGGGACTTAGAGACGCAGGACAAACCAGAGCACACAGATGCTCCCCTGAGATCACCTAGAAAACCAGGTAAAGTGAGTGAGAGCTACTGAAGCAGAGCAGCTAGAGGGGCCCAAGCTCCAGAGCGAGGTAAGTGGGTGTTTCGGAGCAGATGCTCCCCAGGCTGCAGGCAACTGTGGGCACAGGGCAAGAGGCTGGGAATCTTGGCTTTGCCCCCATAGTGGACCAATTAGAGGGAAAAGGAAACCAGCAGACGGCCGGCACTGTCACAGGCTGGGAGATAAAAGTGGAGTCTGGTGGACCAACATCCCTGCAAAGGAGGACGGAGTACAAGTCAACCTGTCACAGTCTCTTCGTGATGTGCTGCACTCTAAGGCTGTGTAAGCAGAGACCTAAGAAGCTAAGTGTGGTCAGTAGAATCATACCCAAATGCATGTCTGTGTCCTTGTCCCCAGTGCCTGTGAATGTGGCATGGTACGTGGCAAAATGGAGGCTGCGGATCTCGGACTAAGGAAAAGATTCTAAGATGAGAGGACCCATGGATTGATGATCCCAAAGGCCCAACACAATCCTGGGTCCTTGCCAAAGCGCTGTAATGGACACCTGCCTGACACACAGGAGCTGGGCACTGCCAAGAAAAAGTTCTGGAACAAAGTGTTTCTTTACAGGAAACACAGGCAACAGAAGCTGCAGCCAACAATACCAGAGGGATATAATCAGCAGACACCAGAATACAGGAAACTCCAGGGCTGGCAACCCAATTTCCTTACCAGATAAATGGCAAGGTGGAGGCAGAGGTAGAAATGAGGGAGCAAAAACACAGAGTAGGAAAGGAACTAAGCAGCTAGAAAAGAAAGTTAGCTGAAATCAAGACAGCAGAAGGAGTTTTAAGAAAGAGAAGCTAAGGCCAAGAACAAGAGCTAAGAAAGAGCTATTACATTTGCTACTAGAGAGGTCTCAATTTTAAAGAAATTAATTTAGGAGAGTGATAAAAACCAAAAAGCTGGGCATTAAGAACTGTGAGAGGACATGTAGTATGTAATCCTATACTATAAAGAAACATATCCAGGGGCTGGGGATTTAGCTCAGCGGTTCGGTGGCCTGCCTTGCAAGTGCAAGGACCCGAGTTCGATCCCAGTACCAAAAAAAAAAGAAACAAATCCAAACCAGGTAGGGTGTTGCACACTTACAATCCCAGCTCTGGAGAGGCTGAGGCAGGAGGAACTCAGCAAATTCAAGTTCGAGGCCAGCCTGGCCTACACAGCAAGACACTGTCTCAAAAAGCACCAAATAGACAAAAGAACAGAGGGCTGGGGATTTGGCTCAGTGGTTCTGCCGCCTGCCTTGCAAATGCAAGGATCTGAGTTTGATTCCCGGTACCAAAAAAAAAGAAAAGAAACATATCCAACATATCCACACAGGTCCTAAGGACTTATTGCCCTGCTGGAGGTGTGAAGAATGAGCTGCTCCAGGGAGCTCCCATGCTGTCGGCTTTGCCTTTCAGTACGAGAGCGCCTCCGTTCACAGCTGCATCTTGTTCAGCCGCTCTGCCTGGTCACTCTTGCACAGACATCATCTGAGTTGTCAAGACGATAAATACCTCATCAAAAACAGGTGAATAATAACAAGAAGGAACAACCAGTTACTCACAAAACTCCTTCGCCTCTTTGTTCTCCAATCACTACTTGTACCACCATTTTGTATCGGTCAAATCCCATCTCTACAAAGAAAAACAAGATAGTTTTCTATAAGTGAAGATGTAGCAAAATTACTTATTGAAAGCAAATTTGTCTAGAACAGACTTACACGGTGTGATAAAAAACTACAGTGAATGTTTTGGGTTTTTTTGTTTTGTTTGTTTGTTTGCTCTTTTTGAGAGGGGGTCATAAAAAAAAAGAGAGGGGGTCTTGGTTTGCAGTTCAGGTTGACCCTAAACTCACTGTGTAGCCCAGGCTTGCCTCGAACTCACAGTGATCCTCCAGCCTCAGCCTCCTGAGTGCCGGGATTACAGGCGTGCAGCACCATGCCCAGCCTAAGTTTTAAAAAACTGATTACAGGTAAAGACACATCTGCCATTAAATCCCTCTCAAAATCCTCTTCACTTCAAACACAATCATCCCATCATCCTTGCCACTTTCTGTAGCAGTTCTGGAAGATCTTTTTCATGAAGGTCTTTAGTGCACTGTCATGGCTGCCACTGATTCAAAATGTTTACCTCTCATGGTCGTTTTGACTTTGGGGAAGAGCCAGAAGTCACACGGTGCCAGATCCACTGAGTGAGGTAGATGAGGACGCAGCATACGGATTTAATGAGCCTGCCTTTCTGTTGGGTGGCGGTTGGCAGCAGGAGTCCCCGTACTTTTTACCACACCGGGTAGAAACACTTGGGAAAGAGGACTTCCGGAACTGCTGCAGAAAGTGGCAAGGATGCTGGGAGAAGTGTGTTTGAAGAGAGGAGGAGGATTTTATGGGGGACTCGTGGCAATGTGTCTTTTACTGTAATAAATTTTCTTAAACATTTGCCATACATTTTGGTCACACTGGCCCACAGGTACTTCATGCATATGATAGCAAGCTTGGGAATCAGAGACCTGAAGACTGAGCCTAACTGTTAACTTAACCAAGAGTACAAGCTTAGAGAACCTATTAACTTTTAAGTTTCCCACTTCGGCTAAATGGGAGTATCATCCCCTAGGCCCAGGCCTGCTGCAAGGCCAGTTGAGATAAACTGTGGTAACAGATCAAGTGCCTAGAATGTTCTCTCAGCGCCCAGCTCCCTTCTTTCCCCTATTCTGCATCAGGTGCCGAGCGAGGCCTTCCCATCACAGAGACAAGGAAGACTGATCTTCTTGCCCTGAAGAACTCGAGGGAGGAGAGCAAAGGGCTCAATGTAGACAAAAAAACACAAGATGCAGGAGACCACCAATCTGCATAGCTAGACCCTGTCTGCAGAGCTTGATGTAAGTATATTCCAACAAAACTTTATGTGCATAAGGAGGCTGAGGCAGGAGGATCACCATGAGTTCAGGGCCAACCTGGGCTACATAGTGAATTCAGAGCCAGCCTGAACTGCATAGTGAGACCCTATCTCAAAACAACAACAGCAGCTTTGAGTTTAGCAGCCACAGAGGCATGAGTAAAAGAAGTAGTTAGGGATTGGTTGGAGGGAGGGCAATGAATGCCAGGCTAAGAAACTGACAGGTTGGTGGAAGAAACAAGCCAGCAGAGCTGGGGATTTACCTCAGTTGTGTCATGCCTGTCTCACAAGCACAAGGTCCTGAATCCAATCCTGGGTACCAAAAAAAAAAAAAAAAAAAAAAAAAAAAAAAA